CACCGCAGCCTCGACCTGCTGGGCTCTGGCGATCCTTCCGCTTCAGCCTTCCAAGTAACCGGAATTGCAGGCATGCGCTACCACACCTGGCTGATTTTTTAATTTACTGTAGAGATGAGGTCTCACTGCCCAGGTGGGTCTCGAACCCATGGGCTCAGGCAATCCACTCACCTCAGCCTCCAAAAGGCACAGGATTACAGCCTGAGCCAACGAGCCCGGCATAATTTTTTTTTTTTAATTGTGGAGCTGAAGTCTGGCCAAGTTGCCCAGACTGATCTCAAACCCCTGGACTCAGGCAATCCTCTCATCCCTGCCTTCCAAAATGCTGGGATTACAGGTGTGAACCACTGCTCCTGGCTGAAGCACTTCTTCTGCCTCAACCTTCCAAGTAGCTCCAAGCAGCAGGAACTCCAAGTGCTACCACGTCCAGCTAATTTTTTTTTAGTTGGAGTCTCACTCTGTCACCCAGCTAATTTCTTGATTTATTGTAGAGATAAGGTCTTGCTAAATTGCCTGGGCTGGTCTTGAACCTGTGTGCTCAGGCAATCCTCTCACCTCGGCCTCCCAAAGTGCTGGAATTATAGGCATGAGCCACTGCGCCTGGTCTAATTTTTTTTTTTTAATTTATGGTAGAAACTAATTTTTTCAGCCGGGTATGGTGGCTCACGTCTGTAATCCCAGCACTTTGGGAGATTGAGGCGAGAGGAGTGCCTGAGCCCAGGGGTTCAAGACCAGCCTGAGCACAATGGTGAGACCTCGTCTTTACAATAAATCAAAAAATTAGCACACCTGTGGCTCCAGCTACTTGGAAGGCTGGAGTGGAAGGATCACCTGAGCTCAGCAGGTGGAGGCTGTGGTGGCCATGAGTGTGCCACTGCACTCTAGCCTGGGCAACAGAGTGAGACTTGGACTCAATAAGTTAATTAATTAATTAATTAATATTGTTGACCAAATCGGCATTTTGTAACTTACAGTCCTTTTCCCACCCAAATCCCTATCTTTTTCACATATTCATATCCATTCATTCATTGAACAACTATTTTCAAGCTGGGCACCATGGCTCACACCTGTAATCCCAACACTTTGGGATGACAAGGCAAGAGGATTGTTTGAGTCTAGGAGTTCAAGACCAGCCTCGGAAATATAGTGAAACTTCATCTCTACAAAAAATTTAAAAATTAGCCTGGTGTGGCGGCATGTGTCTGTAAACCAATCTAATTGGAATGCTGAGGCTGAAGGATCACCTGAACCCAGGAGGTTAAGGCTGCCTTGAGATGGGATTGTGGTAATCATGCCATTGCACTCCAGTCTGGGCAACAGAGTAAGACTCCAACTCCCCCCAAAAAACCGAAAAACCAGCCAGGCACAGCACCTCACACCTGTAATCCAAGCACTCTGGGAGGCAGAAGTGAGAGGATTGCCTGACCCTAGGGGTTCAAAATCAGCCTGGGCAGGTTGGCGAGACCTCCTCTCTACAACAAATAAAAAAAATTAGTTTTTTTTTTTGAGTAGGAGCCTTGACCTGCAGGGCTTAGGCGATCTTTCCAACTCAGCCTTCCAGGTAGCTGGAACTACAGGTGTGCTCCACCACGCAAGCTAATTTTTTGATTTATTATAGAGAGGAGGTCGTGCCTAGTTGCCTAGGCTGGCCTCCAACCCCTGGGTTCAGGTAATCCTCTCCCCTCTGCCTCCCAGTTCAACAATGTTCATTGAGCACTCACTGTTCCCTTGGCCCTGTGGTGTATGCCCAAAACACAGTACATTGTAAGTAAAACAGGGGCCCAACCTTAGACATAGGTGTTTTTGAAATAATTTCTAGCTGCATTATTTTATTTCCATGTCTATATCGTTTCACTTTTTATCCTACACCTATTGATTTTGAGGAACACGTTTTAGCTAAGGCATCTACTCATTTGCTTAAGCCAAAATAGTAATAGTTCTGATCTGCTGATCCGATCTTGCGAATTAGTAAAATCCCGGACTCACAAGTGCCCCCAGGGCTCTACTTACCTCCAAACAGCAGACCCTTTCCCCCCTCCCCCAATGTTAAGCTTCCAGATGTTAGGTAGGGGTGATTGACTCAGAAACCCCGAAAGAACGGACAGCACGTCCACCAGAGGGTGCTGTGGGGGCAAATTTGTGCCAGGAAGGGAGCTCGACCAGTGACCCTCGGAGCCAGGTAGGCGTACTGAGTAATTTTCATTCTTCCTGGTGTTTCCTTCCCAGCCCCTTGGACCGCTGCGGCCCCTCCCCCTGCATGTGGTTTCTCCCTGAATAAGTAGCCACTTTCGGGGACCTAAGAAGTTCTTGCTTTGAAAAGACGTCTTGCTTCTGTTGCCGACGCCCAGGACAGGCTCGGGCCACGCAGGTCACAGGCCAGCCGGGGACGGGCGAGCGGGCGGGCGGGGACCGCCGGGGCGGCCGCGGCCCGGGCGCCGCAGGGGCCGCGAAGGGGTTAACCCGGCGGGGGGGGGAGGGGGCGCGGGCCGCGCCTGCGCGCTGCCGCCCTCCATTGTCTCCACGGCGGCGAGGAGCGCCGGCGAGCGCTGCTCGGGACCCAGCGGGGCGGCGCGGCTGGCGGGGCCG